ACAATATATTATAATTAATCTCTCTTCTCTCTCTATATATATATTATATTCATATACATATAGTATCAACTCTACATATCCATATTATAGATATATATATATATATATACGATATTATATATATATTATTATTATATATTTTATATAAATATGATATATTTAATTATAATAATATTCTTATAGAGATATAGAATATACTTATATTATAAATTATATTATATATATATAATATATATAGATAGTATATATATATATATATATAGACTATAATAATATATATATATAATGCTATATATATATTATATATATATATGAGTATATCATATATAATATATATATTATATTAATAATTATATAAAAGATATATATATAATATATATCTATTATATATATATATATATCTATATATTAAATAACTCTACTATAGATATAGATATATATATTAGTAAATAATATATATTTTATATATTTATATATATAGAGATAATATATATTAGATATAAATTTTTATATATATATATATATATATATAATATTATATATATTATCTATATATATATGATATATATTTATATATATAATATATTATATATATATATATAATATATATAATATATACAATAATATCTATATATCTATATATATTATATATATATTAAATTATCTATATATAATTATATTATATTAATATATATATAATATATATATATAATATATATATATATATATATTATATTAATACTAAAATATAATAATATAATATAATATATATATAAAAATATAATATAATATATATAATAAATAACTAATTATAGATATAGATAATAATAATTCTTGCACGGGGAGGTGCCCTATTATAGTGCGGGGTATAGTCTGGCTATCTAGGTATATATATACTACTATATCTCAAACACAATAAAACTATATATATAGATCGATATATATATATCTATATCGAGATATATATCATTATTATATATCATATATATATATATTATATATATATATATTATCTATATACTTATATTCCCACTTATATATATCTATCTCTATATCCTATATAAAAAATATATATATATATATATATAATATCCTATCTGCTCTATCTCTATCATCCTATATATATTATCTATATATACCCATATCTTTATCATTTATATATATATTATAATTATAGTATCTCACCTATATATATCTCTATAATCTCTACCTCTTCTCACACTCTCTCTAGTCTATAATACTAGCTATCTCCCTCCTTCCACTCTCTCTACAATTCTCTTCTCCTCATATATATATCTAATATATCTATCTCTACTCTACTCTATTCTCTCTACTATATCTAATAAGATATCTAATCTCATCTTATCTCTATATTTATCAATCTCTCTACTCTAATATATCTCGCTCTCTTGCCTTCTCTATCGCTCTATAATCTATCTATATTCCGCTACCTACATACAGATCTACTCTATCATACCTCGCTCTCTCTACTTCTAATGCTCTATCTTCTCATCTATCTCTAGCTCATACAACATCTTAGCTCTCTATCTCCTACTCTATTCTCTATATATAGCTCGATCGTCTTACATCCTCTTACTAATCGATATGTCTTTTCTTATGGTTCTCTTGCTCTCATCTCTATCATCTCTCTCTCGCTATCTCTATCTCCTCTCGATCTCTCTCTCTTATCTCTGTCTCTCTCGCTCTCTCTCCTCTCTATATTCTCTCTCATCTCTCTCTCTCTCATCCTCTCTATCTTCTCTCTCCTCTCTCTTCTCTCCTCTCTACTCTTTCTCTATCTCTCCTCTCTCTCAATCTACTCTCTCTCTCTCTATCTCTCCTCTTATCCTTCTCTCTCTCCTCTTCTCTCTCGCGCTCTCCCTCATCTTCTCTCTATCTCCAGTCTCTCCCTCTCTCCCCTCTCTCCTCTCTCCTCTCTCCTCTCTATCTCTCGTCTCTCTCTATGCATCTCTCCTCTATCTACTCTCTCCTCTCTTCTATCTCTCCTCTACTCTCTCTCTCCTTCTATATATTTTCCTATCTCTCCTCTCTCTCTCTCTCGACACACTACCATACACATCCTCTACTAATCTCTCTTTGTGCTATCCTATCTCTCCTCTCTCTCTTCCTCTCACTCCCCTATCCTCTCTCTCTCTCTCTGTCTTCCTCTCTCTCTCTCTTCTCTCATCCTCTCTTCTCTTTAATTTCTCCTCTGTCTATCATACTCTTTCCTCTTCTCA